TTTCCTGCCAAATTCTAGGTGGTGGAAATAAATAATAATACTAATAATAACGGTTATTACAAACAGTATGAATTTGTAATCCAGTGTCTCTTCTCTTTTTTGTCTATGTTTAGTCATGTTAATTTACTTATAGATTAGTTGGGGGAAGGACTTTCTTCCATCTTCTTATCCCTCACTTTTACTAATTTTTTTTTTTATTTGCTACTTCTGGGGAAAAAAAAAAAAAGCGATAGTATCCAGTTAAACTTCTAGAGCATTTCTAAAATATTGTTATGAAAAAATATCATACCAAATCCTTCACTGCTCTACAATGGTTTAGGTGGAACGACATTAGGAGAGCCAGGATGTTTAACATTAAGGCATAGATTCTTTATAATTATGAATTTCATTGCTATGAAAAAAAAACCAATATATGCTGTAGTGATCAAGCCTGTTCACATAAAATGAATTTATTTTCTAGAGATGTGCTTATTTACCCACTGTAGTCTTTTCTTAGACATTAGTTTCATGCAAAATTTTGGGTGGACAAAGATTTATTTCAACCTGAGTGCTTATTAGCTACTGCAACTATAAAGTGGGTCCTGAAGAAGTGCTTTGACCTTCTGCAGGAGTCTGGGCTTCGACTTGTTTCCCATCTTCCTGTTACGTTCTTTGAGTAGAGTCGTTCATTGTGCTCAGGAGTGACATTGCTGGGAAATGGTCTCCTCTATTTATGCACAGGATGGGCACTGTACTGCGCAGACAACTGCAGTATGTGATAATACATGCTGCCTCACTAATAACTTCAAGCTATTCACTCTCTGAGGTGGCTCAGTTCGGAGCCTCTCTGGAATAAAGTGCCAACAGCATGGTTTTTTATTATGTGAATGTATGTTAACTGGAGACTGATATCACTTCAGTGTCCACTTGAGATTTATCTCACTGAGGACCAGAGGCTAAACTTGAACAAAGATTTGAGCAGTAAAATTCTAATGTTTTCGATTTGTTTAGTTCCTCTGCTATTTGGATATGAGCTCACAGCTCAACACTGCTGCGAAGACAGAGAATACCACCCTAGGGGTGTATATATAAAGCTATCTCTTGTAAGACAAAATAAATAATAAGGCCTTGGGTGATATGACATGTTACAATACAATTTTGGGCTCTTTATCATAAAGCAGGACATCAGAAAGTTATTGGACAGCAAAAAAGCTTCAGTGACTGAGAAAAGGACTAAGAAGAAACTGAACTGGAGAGAGAGGGAAAATGTCTAAGAAGTCTGTGCAAATACTGCATATCTGAGTAGTGGTTGAAATTCTTCTGCTGAAGTTTTGCAATTACAATTAATAGTAACCAGCTGACAGATAGAAACTTCTATCAATGGCCCTGTCTTAGGACTGATATTCAAAGATAGGTACTTGCAGTTGACAAGTGCCATTTTTAATTATATGTACTGCTCAAAAAAACCCCAACCAAGCAATCTGTGTGAAAAACTCAGTAAAGTGTCCATTAATAATCAGGTGAAAATAGAAAATATTCTGTTACTTGAAGTGTCTTCTGATCAGACATAGAAAAGTAATTAGTAAGAATGGAGGAAATCCATAGTTAGTGAAATAGATTATGCAAGTGGTACAGCATAATTAAAAAAATGTGCTTAAAAGCTCTTTTGTTTGAAATTTCAGATGAGGCTATGAATAATGGGTAAGTTCTTCAATGACCAGATTAGAGTTGTATAAACTCTATCTAACGGTATTTATCAGTAATGTGTTAGAGACTTGCATAGATAAAGATAGCTTGTGAGGGCAATAGAATGAAAGATAGTGTAGTACAAGCATACCAAATATACTGTGGGGAAGGTGAAATTAATGCTTCAGTTCATAATTGGAAATAATAAAGGAACAGAAGGATGGGATTCAGAATGAAAGGTTTTTTATAGCAGATAAGTAACTTTTTAATCACTTTATTAGTTTCTGTAAAAGTATTTGTGTAGAATACAAACTATATGTTGAGGAGGAGTAAAATACAGATTTTACATAGACCTGGGAATGCTTATCAAATGTATTTTTTTCTAAGAAACATCCTCATGTTTCAAGGGTTAAACCAGCTACTGCTTGAGTAAGATTAAGAGACTTTCTTAACAAAACATGTGCATTTCTTAAGTTTTTCAACTGTCCATTGTCAGCAGTAAGATCCCAGATTAGAATGGATAAATGTCTGATCTTGCATGTTATTATTTATGTTTCTACAGCTTGTGGTGCATTCAGTATTAGTTCTCATGTCATTGGGTCTTTACTTTCCCCACAGACACTTTAATGTACTTCCCCTATTTTGCATTTGCTCTGTCTAAAATAAACTCTGAAGAGAGAATAAAAAGCCAGAGGTGGCAACTGGGCGATGAATAATAGCTTTACAAAGTGCCAGTGAGAAGATGTTGCAGCTTTGCTTTGCAGGAGGACTATATTGCTTTATTTGAGTTGATATGTGTGTTACCTAAGCTTTAGTTCTGTTATTTCATCCCCAGTTACACACAATTTAGTAATAATCTTACTGTGTTCACTTTACGATCTTGTCTATTCTCAAAATCCTTTTCTTTTCCAGGCTTTTATATTTCTCCATCCAGTGTCACTGGCTGTCTGCCATGCCTGTGCCACACAGCTGGTTCAGTGAATCAGATCTGTGATAAACTAACTGGACAGTGTATTTGCCAAGATGCTTCTGTAACTGGACAGACGTGTGAACATTGCAAAGAATTTTATTTTGGATTTGACTCTGTCACAGGGAGGTGAGTGTTTATTTTTTACAGGTCTCGTAGTAGCTTGTTCAAAGGTTTAGTGACAATGAAAAGATATGCTCTATTTATATTAATCCTTCTTTGAGTTCATGTGTGCCCTCTGATTTTTGTGTGGTACATTATACAAACCTCTGTGCTCCCAGAAGTTGAGGGAAATAGTTTTGCCACAGACTACTTAAGTAGAAACAAGATGAAAACTGTATAAAGCTAATGCTATCTAATGTCATAGCAATTTGGTAATTGTTTCTCTCCATTTCCTCTTCATCCTCAGTAAGACTTGTTGGTTTCTGAGCTGTTAATCATTGACTATTAAAATACAGGTAATGTGCCATTCTTCTAACCAGTGGATGCTTTTGAAGATTTCTGAAAGATATTTTAATGGGGAAAAAAAATAAATAAATCTAAAAATCAGATATCCCTGTCTTTCCAAATTTCATTTAGCAGCAGCAGTTGAAATACTCACAGCACCTTTCCTCTTGAAAATCTGTTTTTCTGAAACAGTGTATTCTTTTTCAGCATTAATTGTCTGCCACAGGATAAATTGTTTATCTAATGTAGCCTGAGGCCTCTAGGTACACTGAAAGTGTATAGATATATTCCCTGGAATATAAGGGGAAAAACATAAGGGAAAAAACATAACTATAGGTAATGCATTATTGTTCCAGCTATTGCTCTCTTTCTTTTCCAGGATCATCTTTCTTGCTTAATCCCCACAATCTCAATTTCCTTTTAAATATTGTCCACAAAGATTGCACAGCTATAATGCTATAATATTTTCATGCAGACTGATGGTATTAAATTGTTTTGTTATATTTAGTATTTTTGCATTTAAAAATAAACCACAGGCAGAAGCAAAATCTGTACAACATTCCCCTCCTCATGCTCCTTTCCCCCAGCTAGTGTGTGGTAGACAAGCTTTTAGGCAGTGATTGTCAGTGTCATCTGGCATATACTTGACATTAGTCTGCAGATTTTTCACTTTAACTTTTATGTTACTGTCACTCATTAGGAGATTTTTTTTTAAATTATTTTTTACTGTTGCGGGTCACAGAGGCATCTGCTAATGGCCATAAAGTAATCTGTAGAATAAGGACTTCCTCTTTTCACTTCCTGTCATTTCTAATGGTAGGGAATAAAATCTGTATAATATTAAAGTTCTTTTTTTAATATATTTTCCTTATTATTGATGATTTTTTTTTTTTTAATTACTTGGAATAGATTCTGCCCTACCCTCGTTTTTGGCAGGTTTATGTCTCTGTTAAGCAGTAGGTCTCCTGAACTAGATATTAGCCTCCAATTACTTGCATTTTGAGCTGTCTTCTGAAATTCAAAATGTGGAAGTATCTAGAATTATCTAGATCCAGATCTTGTAAAGATGGACCATTTTTTACTGTTTTGGAATTGGAATCAGAGTTGGTTTTAGTGCCTTAATAGTACTTAATCCTCATGACAGTATTGAAGACTGCTCCGGTAGTACATTAGCATGGTTAACTTTTGTTGTGTATGTTTGGCTTCCTTTTGGTTGACATCTACTTGGGCAATGTACCTCTGTTTCTCAGGCAGAAACATTTATCCACTGAAAATGATAATCCAGGTCTTTATTTGTTAATCTATTTTAATCCATTTCTTTAACTGTTAGTATCCTCTTAAAAAGAGCAATGTGCTTTTTCTTTCTTTGTAAAGTTGCAAAGTCATTTAAACCAACCTTGTTCCAAGTGTCTTTTAAGGACTCTGGTTACAGAATGAAAATGATACGAACTATCTGTAGTGGCAAAGAAATATCGGTCTTGGCACAATAGCAGAAAAGAAGCAAAACTTGTGACACACACAGACTGTGAGGCTTTAAAATTCTCCTGCTCTCAGAGGAACGTATGTGTGAGCTGATTTACTTTCTGATGTTTTTGAGAGCAAAGAGTAATTCCATATTTTTTTCATGCATTTCATTTTACAGAGCAGAAAAATTTCCTCAGCAATTAAAGAACTAAAGATATTGGATGTTTTCAGTGGTCTGAACAGATCTGTAATTGTTGTGGGCATTGGCACACATTTGAAATGCTTTACCTCTGTATTGTTTACTATAATGAACTGATCAATGAACATCACAAATTGTTTATCTATATATATATCTCTTGACAGATTACTGTTTATGAAATCCATTTAGCAAGTGAGGTTTTCCCATAAGGATGAAAAATGAAGATTTTAAACAGATTGCGGGAGAGGCTCTAACTGCACCTAGAGAGTCAATGTAATAAAGGTTTCTCTATATTAATATTACAAAAACCATTTATCCTCACAAAATCAATATTGCAATTCATCTTGGCCTGACGTTTCTCTTCCCATGTTTTAAAAGTCTGTTTTCCTTGATTATATATAATTCTGTTTTAATAAAACTCAAATATATTTGACTCGGAGTATCTTGAAGTAGCATTTAACAAGAATGCTGAAAATATTTCCTATGTGATTAAAAGTTTCAAAGTATCACTTATTTTTTTTTAAATCCTTAATTGACTGAATCCTTAATCCTGACTGAAAGGATAATCTATGCATAACAACAAAGCCAGTTCTAGTGTTCTGCAGTTTAAGAAAACGATGCATGTGATTACACAAATGCCATGTGTAATCCTGTGGAACAGAATATGATAACATGTATGGTATTGTTTGAAGGATCTGGAGCCTAATTCAGTATAGGGGAAGGTAGGGAGCCTACACTCTTCCTAGAAGAAAATGCAGCTATTCCAAGCAGAAAGAAACAGCCCCACCCTGCTAGGCACTGACAACTATTATTGTGACTGTACGTGTATGTGAGTTTCATTGTCTGATGTGTGAATGATAATGAAAACTGGAATACTCCGGGGCCCTTATTCATAAGAGGTGCAGTAAGAGAAGCTTGTATTTTACTATTTACTATTAAGACACTTTTGTTAACGCCCTCCACCCCCCAACTGTATGTGCTAAATATCATAATGTAATGAAATTATGAAATAATAAACTACCATCTTGCTGAGCAAATAATTCTGCCTTTGTTTTCTTTTTTTATCTAACTAAACCATTTTTTTGGTCATGACATTTAAATAGTCTAAACAAAACCTCTATTTGAAGGAGGATTTAGATGCACTGTCTACAGATGAAAAGACTTAATACAGTTTGGAAAAAAAAAAAGCCCTTTTCTCTTGACTATAAAAGAGAGCAAACTATAGTATAGTGGTTTCCAAGAGAGAATGTATTTTATTTATTCCCAAAAGGATATTAGTCCATAAAACAAATTTGCAGCTTATTTTGCAGCTTTAGCTTTTATCAGCCTTTTTAAGGGTGTTGAATGATTACCCAGGAGATCACACAGCATGAGCTGCTGTGGAGTAAAGGAACTCTAACACAGAGAGCTCTGGGATGGGCAGAAAATGTATGTGAAGAGTTTTCTTAAACTTGTTTAAAAATCTGTCACATTTAATGTATATTTCACTGATTATTGACCTGAATTTTAGTGTCCTAATGTGAAAACAGTTTCTACCCTCCCCTTCTCTCTCCATTGCCTTAAAAATTCAATACCTAACACATAACTGAACTCACTTTTATTTCTGCCTTCATATAGATAGATAGATATATAAATATTTCAATATATAGAAAGAGATAGACCAAGGTGATGGTGATGACTGGAAAAATGGTGAAGTAACTTGTATAAAGGCACCACCACCTATTTCTTCAGATCTGGTGAAACTGGCCAAGGAAAGATCAGCCAAATATAAATCAACACCTCTTGTCTTAGGGTTGGCAGAGCAAAGGGGACATGGCATGACTGTTTCCCTTGGACTTGTCCAAGGTCTTTTTGCTGCTCCATCATCTTGGGACCTGATATCTGGAGTAATTTAAATTTCCCTCTAGGCTGATATTGGTTATGCCTGAGAGTGGGACTTCTCCAGCTCAAGGCAAGGGAAGTGATGTGTAGATTTCCCAGTATGTTTTAGCTGTGCAGTCCCACATTTCTCCCAGTCCATGTTTTCAAAGCTCTTTTAGTCTTCAGAAATTACAATATAGTGAAATTTGAATTTAAAGCACAAAGTTGTATTTGCCATTGTTATCTCTGTTATGACTAATAATGGCAGTCTGTGTTGCAATGGGTAGCATAACAATATTTGCAGTAAGGAAAATATTGCTTTGCTTAACTTCTGTGATGTTCTGAGTCTTTGAATATTTGTATAATCTGACATTGGTATCCCTGCTATAAATGAATGCCAGTAGGGAAATAGTATATCAAGTGAAAAGCAAGTTGATCGCAAGAGTTTTCACATGCGAAATCGAAAGCATAAATTAATCCTGGAAGTACTCTGCTGATGCCGGAGAGATTTACAGAATTGAAACGTGGTATTGTGTGATACTGATGCTTTTAATTTTCTGTTCTTTTAATTTAAAAAATAATTTGATTTACACATTTAATTAAATATTCTTTCTACTTATTTTCAGTTTTGTCCATCAGACTGCAAAGAAAAAGTGCTTTCTTTTGTAATATACATATTTCTACTGATTTGTTTCTTTTCACTGTTTAATCTGTGGGGTTTTTTCTCCCAATTTTTGTCTGCATTCATTCTCCTTTATTCGCAGCATGTTATTTTTTTTCAAATTCAAGTTGCTTTTGTGGACAAGAAATTATTAATTGATTTCTTTTTCAACAAAAGCCTAGTTTCCTCTAAGTTGGAAGGTTGTGTATTTTGAGTGGAAACCTATGAAGCCAGTTACACATGTATCACTGAACTCTACAGCTCTGCAAGAAAGGCTGTGTGAGTAAGCGTGGAAGGACTGAGTGCATAATGTGGTTATTACCAAACACTATTATCCTTTTTGTTGTATATGGATCAATATATATAAAACTCTTTAATTCTAAGCAGTTTTTATCTAAAATAGAATTTATTCTGATGTAGAGAGTTTAATATTTATTTTATATTGGTCACCTGTTTTGCAAGTTTCTTTTATTATCAGGCTAATAGATTTTCTACCATGTCTCAGGTTACTGAGCTGTTTATGATTTTTTAATTATGTTACCCAGGAGTCTTTTAAACAAAATCCTACTGTGCTTAACTGGAATGTTAATGTGTTTTGATCACTTCCTTGATTTGTTTTTGTTTATAGATGTCAGCACTGTAATTGTCATCCTGCAGGAGCTGTTAGTGGGACTTGTCATCTTGTTACTGGACAGTGTGTTTGTAAACAATTTGTAACTGGCTTGAAATGTGACAACTGTGTTCCTGATGCTAGTAATTTGGATGTCCACAACCTATTTGGCTGCAGTAAAAGTAAGTGGATGCTAGGTCTTAAAAACATGTCTTTCAAATTAATGTTTTTGTATTGGTTTTGTGAGTATTAAATTAGGTAAGCAGTACTAAAACTGGGTTTGATTCTTCCCTTCCCCCCCCCCCCCCCCCAGTATTTCTGGTCCCTGAAGTTTGGGTGATTTTCACACTGTGAGTATCTTAGGAGTGTTTTTCAGAGAGAATGCTTCATGTCATACACACAACTTATGCTTGCAATCTAACCCAGGGAGAAGTAACGGTCCATAGTTCCCTTGCACTTCCCACCATGTTCTTTGTAGTGACCAAGGCAGAGTTCACCTTTTAGTCACATGAATGCAATGGTATTTGTTAAACTTGCAGCTTATCTCCCTTTCCTGCCATTGACAGGAGGCAGGAGACCTGTCTTCAGAAGGTCTGAAGAACAGAAGGTCTGTTGAAGACCTGCTCCTGGTGATTAATTAAAAATCTGCTTTGCCTTTCTCCTCCATGAGATTTTTTTTTTTCAGTCAGTTTGGGAAAATAGGTGATGTGGTGTAACAGAGCATCATAAATTGGCCTGTGTGAGGTGGGGCTAATGCTGTGTTGATGTTCAGATCATGAATTGTAATGAAATATATCGCAATGAAACATCTGCAGTTCTGCCCTTGCAATAAGCCTGAATATGATGAGATGGCACAATTTCAGACTTTGTGTCCTAAGTAGTCAAAATTAAATGTTCAGATTTGCTCACCAGAGTGCAGTCTCTAAGATGGCAGGGACTGTAAAGAAGGAGAGGAAAAATATTACATGTACTAAGAAACTTAAATTTTTAAGTTGTCTTTGGTTCGGCATTCAGAAATGGGCTTTGAGGACTTCATACCATGCAATGCCAAACTGTATGAGTAGGACCTCAGCTGATTCTGGAAAAATTTGTGTTACAGTTTTGTGACACACCTTACTGCCGTACACAGTTAGCAGCCCGGTCTTGGAAGTCATGTAACCAGTTTCTGAGGTATTCTGCAGATGCTAATTGGTCATTTCTGTCAGCAGACATAATTAATAATGGCCAGACTGGTCCTCCCGTCAGTTAGCTCAGGTTGCCATGTGTAATGCAACAACAGGGTTAGACATTCCCAAGTGATCTCTGGAATATGTTTCTGGATCCTCCTTCAACAAATATTTCTTTGTATATTTGACATAGGTATTTATATGACTTTTATCACTGTGATATGCCCACACTGTAGATTTGCAAGCAGAGATGTACATGCACAAAGAGTTTGTTTACAAAGACAGACAGCTCTCACTTTGATTCCAGTTTGTATTTCATTGTAAATCTGCTTAAATTTCAAATAAAATGCATTGCAGAATGCACAGTTCTGTAAATGGGATAGAATGAAGTGACTAATTTGTTTCCAAAGTTGATTTTTTTTTTTTTTCTCTGAGTTTGGAAGTGCTTAGATATAGTTTTGTTTTGTTTTGTTTTCCTGTATTCTTCTGTAGAAGGCATAGTATCTAGTCACTGTGCAGACAGCCGATAGGCTTGTTGTTTCTTTAAAAAATGTAGGATGTTTCAACTGAATATATAATAATAATAATGCATGGCAATTTTATGATGCTGTTCATCTTCAGAGTGCTTCACAAACATAAACCAACCTGCTTATTTATTGTGGGATATACATTGGATAAAGGTCAATGGCAATTCAGCTATAAAACTGATTAATAATAATGTGACATAGATAAATAATATAATAGATTTTAGTTAGAAAAAAATACATCAGGCAGTATTCTAAATGACAAGCGGAGTCCTCTTCTGGACATAAATGATACAGCAATTGCAGTCTTTTGGTTATTCATACCAAAATATTTTAACTTGTTGCACAGATACAAAACTTTGCCTACCTTGATAGTTGTAATTACATTCATAGCAGAACAGTGTTTTATTGACACATACCATTACTGGTTATAAGCCTTTGCCAAGGAAAGCAAATGTAAGTTGCCATTGCTAATATTCTTTAAGGAAAAGACCTATTTTCAAATTTTCTGCCCAGCAAGATCTTAGATGCTTGTAAAAAATCTGAAATACAGTACTTTGCTTACACATCTAAAATGCAAAACAGCAGATACGTGGGAGCAATACGCAATACTGTGAGACTGAGAATAGAGAATTAAGGTTATGCCAGTAAATTTCTATAGTTGCTCAGGTCTTATAAGCATGTGTTACGTGGAGAGAAACTTTCAAAACTGCCAGAGGGATTTAGAAGCTCTTATTTCCTTTGATCCTCAAACTCTCCTCCTGTAGACACTTTAGCATATATTCATTTCCTAATTCAGCTGAGCTCAAAAACTCTAGATTGGCAGCAAAACAACCTATGATTTCCAGTGGGAGATGATGATGTGTTCTGTTCAATCTAATGAATTCTAGAAATATTTTCTGCTATTTCTTGGCTGGAAGTCTGCAGTAGGAGGAGGCTTTTCATTATCTTACTCTAAATAAAGAGCCTCAACTCACATTTTAGATTTGTATTAAAATCCCGTATGTAATGTCACACACTGATTTTGGTGTAAGTCTCTACATCTGTCACTTGTGTGGCTTGAGGTCCTTGTGTTGCTTTCTGTGTGCAACTTTACTCTTTACTTCTTGTCTCAGTTTGGCTGAACAGATTTTGATAAGTAAATTTAAGTGAATTATGCATATTAAGCAAATATCCAGCTAATGGAGATTATGATAGTTTATAAACACAAGGAGGAAAAAAAAATAATGAGGAGCCACGTGTTTCTCATGTTGATACTTTCCTATAATGCTTAATGTAAGGAAGAAAAGCTTATTGGGGGGTTCTGGATCCAGCTCCTAGTAGCTTATTCCATAAACTGATTTCTGTACTGCCCTCGGCTATTCTCATTCCTGGAGCAAAATTATTTCCCCTTGATCCATGCTTTCCTGGTTTTCCCTCCCTTGATAAGGAGGGTAGGGAATGGCACAGTCTGCCTTTAAGTCAAGCTATAGCTAGCTGCCAAAACATACCAGTCTTGTTCTGTGCTAATACCCAGTGTACTGAGGGTCAGAGAATAGTGCTTTCCTTAGTGTAACAGGCTGACTGGTGATATCACAGCATGATATGGACTCACGCTCTGATTTGAATAATAACATAAATATAGAATCATAGAATCATTTAGTTTGGAAAAGACCTTTAATATCGTTGAGTTCAATTGTAAAACCAATGTTTGTGTGCACATGTGTTTGTATATGTTTATCTATGCTTATGAAGTTTAATTTCTGAGCAATAGCCATTATCTTAGAAAGGATCATGATCATAGAGTTGTATTACAAAAGAGACATAGGAGGGACTTTGCTCTTTCTGAAAATGTGTGACTTCTGGCTTGTGAACTTCAGGTTTGTATTTCTCTTTATTGATACTAGTACAATTAAGTAGCACATTTTCCAAAGTCAGTGGACGTGATAGCAGAGTAGTATTTTGGTAAGTAAGAATCTAAAGCTGATTTCTTAAAATGTTAGACACTTCGCTCTCATTGATTTAAATTTCATTGGAAACAAATGGAAGTAAATTGCCTAAATAACCTTCAAAATTTGCCCCTTTATGTTTTTTGTCATTTAATTAAGTAGGCTTATTGTAACACTTGAATAAAATTTGTAGTTAGTTGGACTTTCTATTTCTTTTCTAATAGAGGAACTTATGCCTGGCTTATGCTAAAATTGAATGAATCCTCTGTAAAAAATAAATTATAATTGAACTATAGAATGTGACCAGATAAACATGTTCCTATTTTACAGAGGTCTTGAAGTACATTAAAAAAAACCAAACAAACAAACAAACAAAAGTGTTTGGAAAACTGTGATGTACTTACTTTAATTTGGGAGGGAAAGGGGGATTAAGTTTTTGTCATTTGTTTAAATGTATAAATTTGGTTGATGAACTTGGATAAAAAGCTTTGGAGAGCATTTGGATGAATCGGTTTAGTCTATTAGTGTCTTGCCTGAGTAACTGTGTGTTTACTTAATGTTTTTTCTTTGAAGAAAACTTATTGGTTTCTTTGCATTTTTATTTAAATTTGTGTCATTATTGATTATCTTCATTTTTACATCTTCTGTTTTTGTGTATGTTTTAGCTCCATTCCAACAACCTCCCCCAACAGGAGAAGTTCTCAATTCCTCTGTTATCAGTCTTTCATGGAGTTCCCCTGACTCTCCAAATTCTAACAGGCTTACTTACCAGCTATATAGGGATGAGGCTGAAATTTATACAACTGAAGATGACTACCCTTATAGTACGTATTTATAGGAAGATGACATCAAAGATTTTATGTTTCTGTGGGTGTGTACTCATCTATATATATGTGCGATTTTTCTTAATTATTTCTTGTTTCTGTCATTATAATTTGCTGTAATACGTTATTCTGTTTTCATTTAGTGAGTTACTGTTCTGTGCTATTAATTTTATTTGAAAGAAATGAATACTCGAGTCTAAAATCTGGCAAACCGAGTCACCCAAAATGGTTGATTATTTTTTACTTCTTAAGATGAAAAAACTTTAATTGACTCCTCACCAAAATCATTCCCTGCAAATATACGCAGGCTCCAAAATATAAGAGAGGCTAAGTCCCAGAGAAAGAATTAGGGTGAATGGAAGAGACCACAATGTGCTTAAACTTGCTTTTTTCATCCTCCTGGTTTTAAACTGTTAACAGATTAGGAAAGCTTTTTATAGTCTCTAACTTTTAGCACCTTCTGTTAAGCTACCAGTGTAGCTCCTGATTTGCCTTTAGCGGGACCACTTCTCTCGTGTTGAGGCTTGCAAAGGGAGCCTCAGAAGGCAGTCCTCAAGGATTCAACACTCTGTCCTAGCTGGAAAGGCCATTTTGTGCTACTATTGATCCTCTTATCAAAGAAAAGGAGATGGATTTGGATACTGGTTTTATGTATATACAGCACACAAATGCTGTTTTTAAGAAGACAGGTGTGGTTTAATGCCACTAAGGTTTGATTTCTGTGCTAGCAGCTTCTTTAGTTTATTGCATTTTCATACCAATGCAGCATGAATATTTTGCAGAAATTCAGTCTTTCTAATAATTGGCATGTACTCTGGAGGAGAAAAAAAAGTTGGGGGGGGCTATTATTCATTGGAAAGCAGATACTTCGGAATGCATCTAACAGTTTTATATTCTGGTGCATGCTGCTTTGTTATAGTTGATTATTTGTGGCTTATGCTGTGAATTTGGACACTCCACAGTACATACCATGAGGAAAGGTATGTGACCCCGTGTAAGCATGAGATTAAGTGATTGAGAGGATAGAGACAAAAAAGTTTAGAGACCTAATAGAAAATATTTCAGTGAATTTGGTTTAAAAGCCTAACTTTAGTAAAAATATGAATTAATTTCAAAAGAAAAGCTTTTATACTTTATTGTCAGAAATTTGTGCTCTGTGATGTACTTCAGCCTGAGTGCATTGTTGAGGATATTTCATGGCTATACCCACATACTTTGTAGGGAGTGAAAAATTCTGAATGCATTTAGCTGTATAATGAGACATTAGCATGTTTCTATTTAACAAGACATTATTTTATAAAAATATAGATTTGGTTTCAAAACCCATTTTAGACATTTGCTGGCAAACCCACTAATTAATGATGTGAAATCATCTGCTGGTGTTGCAGTTGTTTCAAGAGTGGGATGCATTCTGGAGTTGGCAGTTTGATAGGGAGGAAGTTCTAGACTGTGTTCTGGCTCACTTGTTGGGTCTAGATAATGTTCTAGCTCTCTTGTTGGGTCTAGATCAGGTGTCGAATCTAGATCATGTTCCAACTCACTGGTTCTGGAGCAAGATAATGGCTCAGGATGTCTTGTTGGTCCACTTCTTGGTTCCAGAGAAGGCTCTAGCTCATTTGATGGTTCTGGATCATGTACTAGCCAATGTTCCAGAACACATCTTGCTTCTAGATAATGTTCTAGCTCTTGCTAGTTCTAGATTGGGTTTCAGATGAGTATATGGTTCTAGAGCAGGGTTGGGTTCTGAGGGGGGGAGGTCCTATAGTCTAGTTCAGGGATTACTCCTGTTTTGTTTATCTCACAAAGATTTGTGGTACTTGCTGCTGCTGATAGCAGTCTTGCTAGGTTTTTTTCTTATTTTCTTATTTATTTTTTCTTGTGTGTTTTTTTCCTTTTCTGTGACCCTTTTGAGTTGAAGGCCCATAGGATGGGGATCCTATCCTCCCATATAGTGCAGCTTTCCCACGTTTCTAGCATGCTAACTCACATGCTCTCTGTGTCCATTCTTATCTCTGGAGACAAAATTGGAAACTGGGCACATGGCAAGCGCTTACTTGCCTTTGTCTTTCACAGCAACTAGTTGCAATGCTCCTGCTCTGAGGATTCTTGCCAGCCTGTCCAAGAGTCCTGTCTAACACTTGTCAGGCTTTGGTACCCACTCTTGAACCCAGAAGCACTTAAACTGGGGCAGGTGTGTCCATGCAGCTCAGAAAGAGCTCAACAATTCTAGAGTACACTCGAGTACTTGCACCCGCAGTCGTGAATGGCATGCTAACGCGAAAGCTGAAAAACAAACAGCTGAATCTCATCAGCAAGACTGAAATCTGCTGCATCACTGCTCTGCTCAATACTAATGCACAAGGACGTCACAATAACCATTGTGGCTGCTGGCAGAGCCATTCTCCAACCTTGCTTGAAGTACCAGGGTTCAAAAGTTGTGAAGATGAGATTACCTGGTCTCCTTATTGCTGCACTCTTTGTAATCACTATAGGTAGTTGAAGTGCTGTAAGCAAGTACTGGGCTGACACTGCTGCTTTTGTTCTACAGTGTCAAGGGTTGAATATCTAGCAATACTAACAATTTTGTGGTCCTCTGCTTTAAATTGTACTCAGAGCTGGCTTGCCAGTGCAGATGTACACAGAGGACTTAGAAATAGCTGTGCCTTCTCCATTTGGAAAGTAGGGGGTGAGGAAGGTAAATGTAGGCTTTGGATATACCTTTTTAATAATTATTTACACTTCTGTTTCACTTTTCATCCAAGATCAAATGCTTTACAAATGAACTATTAAGCACCATTTTATAAGCGAGGAAATGAAAACACAGAAAGGTGAAATCTTTGGTCTTATGCTATGAAATTAATCAGAAACAAAGGTCTGAAAATTTACAGAATGTTTTTTCTTTTTTCCTAAATCAGATACACTAATGTCGATGCTGATTTACATTTGAAATAATTCTTTCCAAGCAAAGGAGGTATAAGAAGATAATTGTATGAATCTTGTTCATGTTTAAAGCAGGAACTAGGAGAAATTCAGTGCAAAGAATTATTAAATTATTTCTCAAGTGATGCCAATGTGCAGTGGAAGATAAAGGGAAAAGGGGAGAGGGCTTTTCTATGTTAAAAAAAAGAAAAAAAAAGAAAAAAAAAGATGAGAAATTACAATATTCCTAATCTCAAGATAGGCATGCAAAATGGTTGTAAATATTTTACATCTTGGATTAGGGCTGGGAAGACTTTAAGTATATCAATTAAATTTATTCTTAATGTGTTTGACTGATACAATTTTTTCCTCACCCATTCGTTTTAGGTGTTCAGACCTTCACTGATACCATGTTATCTCCATATACCTTCTATTCATATTACGTCCAAGCCAGCAATGTTCATGGGTTTACAAGAAGTGCCTCAGTGACATACAGAACAAAATCTGGGACGCCTACAGGAAACTTGGATTTAAATCCCGTATTTCCTGTTAGTCACCACTCTGTTTTACTTTACTGGACAAGCCTCTCCAATGACTCTGGGCCCGTAGAGAAATACATTTTGACATGTACTAGCTTGATTGATCTTCAGCCTTGTGGTCAGTATGAAGGCTTAAAAACTTCAGCAATTTTTTTGAATCTCATTCCATTTACAAAGTATGTTTTTTCTGTGCAAGCTTGTACTAGCGGAGGCTGCTTAAAGAGCCAGCCAGTAACAGTAGTTACTGCACAAGCTCCTCCAGAAGGGCTACACCCACCAATGATAGAAACAATCAGCTCTACAGAACTGGCTGCAGAATGGTCACCGCCTGAGAAACCAAATGGTAGGACATTGTATTTACTTTTGTAAGTCAAAGATTTTGAGAAGAAAAAGCAACATTTTCTCAAATCTGCTTAGAATATGCTTATCCATGTGACATAAACTGAGAATGAAGGTATTGTCTTAATTTGCCTGTCTGGCTCTAAATGTGTTTGCCACTGTCTGCCACTGAGTCTGCATTTTGTTCTTTCGGAGTCCAGAACTCCAGCTGAATGTGCTTGGTCCAGGATTTAGCCCTTAGTGGCATCTGCTGCAGAAAAAAATCACATTTATAATTAAGCATTTACAGTAAAATTAATTTTTTCCTAATTTGCCAGATAGTCTAATTCAGACAGATGTGGTGATACTGCCTTACAAAGAAGAAATAAGCAGATAACAGTTATGGGGTGAAAAAAAAATAATCTAAAAATTAACAGAGAAGACTGTTTTTAAAATCATCCGTCATGTGTAGTAACTAATTCCATTACCAGTATAACTTTGTTAGGGATTAGGTGATTGCCAAGAGTTACTGGTCTAACTTGCATAATAATATTTTAGGTTTTTGAAACTGAGAACGCAGCTGTTGTAGGATACTTTTGTGATGCCACAGGTTTTACTGGTATACACTTTATCTTTTAATATATGTGCAATGGAGCTTTGTGAACTTGCACTTACACGCACAAATATTTGTGCATGTGAAAACAAATGTTTTGATTTGTTCACAAAATGGGCATCTTCTGTGTATGGGGAGCTCAGTGTTCTCTTCCAACGTCTTATTTGCTAGCTTTTACCAGATTAGATAGGCAGAATGCCTGCAGAAGAATGCCTGTATGTATTTAGAGGAGGCAGTTCATGATACTTGGTGTTAGTACTTGTCCCTCAACCTGTAGTGTACACTCTTCATATTTTAATTCATAGCTGTTACATGCATCTAATTGCCAACACAGGCAGATTTAAGCAATGCTCTTATATTTCTTTTGAAGTCTAGTAAGATTTCCTTTTCTTGGGAGAATTGTTTTCTCTGGAACAACCTCTCCAGTTCTGTGCATGAGTACAGTCCCAAATATATACATTATATGTCTGCATATATATATATATATGTCTATATAATGTAG